CCAACTCAGTTAGAGTGCGGTTCTTTCTTTCGGCAATCCCATTGGACTGTGGTGAATATGGCGGTGTCCTCTCATGAATAATTCCATGTTCTACATAGAATTTAGAAAATTCATTTAAAAGTATTCTCCACCACGATCAGACCTTAACCGTTTAACTTTCCTCTTAAGTTGATTTTCTACTTCAGCTTTATAGATCTTAAAATAATACAACGCTTCGTCCTTTGTTTCTAGCAGGTACATAAAGTAAAATCTAGTACAATCATCTATAAAAGTCATGAAGTATCTTTTACCACCTTTAGTCAACTCTCCATTCACTCGCATAGATCGGAATGGACTAGTTCTAATGGCGCCAAGTTCCTCACCTCCGTAGCCTTGTGAGTCTTACGAGGTTGCTTTGATTGCACACACACATGGCACTTAGAACCTTTGACCAAATTAAATTTTGGGATTAAATTCAGATTTGCAAGCCACTATAGACAACCAAAATTAACATGACAAAGACGTGAATGTCAAATATTTGACTCATCAGGGATAATAGCATTATTCACAATCTTATTACACACATCATCATGCAAGGATAAGCGGAACAAGCCTCGCAATCATAACCTTTACCAACAAAAGTTCCATACTTTGACAGTACACATTTATTGGCCTCGAAGACAATTTTATAACCATTTCGACAACATTGAAAGCCGCTAACTAGATTCTTTTTTATGGAGGGGACATGCTGCACGTTCTTCAATAGCACCGTCTTTCCTGAAGTGAACTTCAGAATGACCGTACCAACACCAAGAACACGCGCATGGGACCCATTCCCCATCAGCAAGGCTCTAGTCCCGTTGACCTGATAAGAAGAAAACAAAGAAGCATCAGCACACACATGAATATTAGCCCTAGTGTCCATCCACCACTTAGGCGAATGACAGACTGAAAGAACAGTAGGTAAAGAATTACCATACCCAGATGTTCATCCTTCAGCCTCTCTAACAACCATGTTTGCAGATTTCTTCTCTTACTTAAATTTGCGGTCTGGGCATGAACTTACCCAATGCTCATCACTCCTGCAAACAAAGCAACTACCATCTTTGTTGTTCTTTTTTTTAAAAGTGGTTGTTTGTTTTGGCTTCGAGTTGATCTCTTGTTTGTTCTTCTTCTTCTTCTTATTACGAGATTCATTATTGTTTTTTCTCAGCACCATATTGGCAGCAGAAGACTCAACTCATTTTTCACGTGTGTCTTTTGCACTCATCCTCTCCTCAACATCAAGAGACCCAATAAGCTCAGCAACGCTAAACTCTTATCTCTTGTGTTTCAGAGAGGTAGCAAAATCTTTCCAAGAAGGTAGCAGCTTAGCGATTATACCGTCGACCACGAACTTGTCAGCTAACACACATGGAAACTGATCGAGTTCCTTAGCCAGTGCATATACCTCATGAGCTTGTTCAACCACAGAACGATTGTCAACCATTTTGTAGTCAAACAGCTGGTCCATGATGTACAGCTCGCTACCGACGTCAGAAACACCAAACTTTGCATCAAGCGCATCCCATAATTCCTTGCCTGTCGTGCCTAATCCATAGAACTTTTTCCGCTCCTTTTCTATCTAATTAGTTTATGTTTGTTCTAATTACAAAACAAACAAGAACAAATCTTTTATTTTTGCAGGCCAATCGCTCTTTTGACTTTGGAATACAGTCTCTTTATCAATATACTGTTTCTTTTACACATTCAAGTCATAACATCCCTTTTCAATCCATAATCAAGAATAATTAGGATTTCTAAAAAAAAAGTAAAGGGTCCACTCATAGGAAAACCTAACCTTTCCCTGCATTAGGCACTAATCTATTTTTAATGAAGTGATGTAGTTGTTCTCATACTTGCTATGAAGTGCACTAATCACGGCGCCTCGAAACAGGTTATCGGTTGCCATGAACTTTTGCTCCTCCTCGGGAGTAAATTGTTCAAGCTTCCCCTGTGCAGCATAATAGCAGTTCATAGCAGTTAACCAAAACACCATCTTAGCACGCCACCGTAGAACGTGGGCTCGTAGAACAGCTGCACCAACGCTAGCAGGTTCTAGCGGCTAGAAGCACGTGTCCTTGCCGAGTTGAAGAAGCACACGGCCAGCTGCAGGTTCCGCCGGCTAGAAGCAGTGCATCGCCTTCGGCACCGCCGGGCCATGGCCCTGTCGGTGGCTTGGACGAGACCGACGAGGCGCCGAGGATGACGCAGCTGCCGAGGGTGGAGCCAAAGTCGGCCTTCCACTTTAGGAGCACGCCATCGTCAGTGCCAGCTCGATGTGGAGGGGCCGTAGCTGAGCGGAGCACCTCGGAGCGCGAGTGGTGGACTGGTGGGAAACGTCCGCGATGGGCGCGGGCAGTGGCTTGGAGCGCCAGGAGACACCCGCCACGGCGGGGGACAGGATCTGGCCGAGCATGTGGCGATGCCGCCGACCAGGACGCGCGCGATGTGCACGAACGCGCGTTGCGCCCGCAGCTAGCGCCTGGTGCGGTGGGGAGCCCGGTACAGCGGATGAGGAGGAGGGCGGCGGGTCATCGGATGACGCAGTCGACGTAGACGAAGACGGAGTCGACGAGCAGCATGAGCGCGTGGAAGCGGCGCGAGACGAGGGCGCAGCTGCCGAGCGCCTTGATGTCGCCGATGCGGTTGAGGACGTCCCACTGCAGGGGCCTCCTCCTCCTCCATCCCACGCAGGTTACAGGCACACAGATCGGGATCGGGGAGAGGCGTCGGCGTGGGGCACGACCGGGTGGGGCGAGAGTCGGGACAGCAAGGACGTGCGCAAGCACGGGCGCTGCGGCACGTGGTGCCGGTGGTGCCGTAGGAGCCGTTCCTATTCGCGCCGAGCGTCCACGAGAATAACCCGTAAGGGCGTGACAGAGGCTACTTTCAGTTCTGTTACTTCTGCCGCTTTATTTTAACGGAATGCTATTTTTAGTTCACGGTTCAATCTTTTAGTGGTATTTTACAATGACGCATACTTTCGATGGTATTTTACAGAGATCGTGATCTTTCGATGCTACACAACCAATTTTCCCTTATAGATATACATATTGTGCGTGTATATGATGTTATAACAAAAGGACCACTATAGTTGTGAATAATTTTTTTGGTTGATTAAATCTTGATATCGTTACGCCAGGACCTCAGTTTACCAAGAATATGTCTCGGTGAAGGAAGTTATAGATAACTTGATTCATTTGAGGTTTCTGTATGTGGCGGAGAAGTAATAATGACATAATGCACGGTACTATTTGTGTATGCACTACACAAGTTATAATGACACAATGCACAATACGAGGGGGACAAATGAAGGGGCACATGCCCCCTCCCCTACCATCAGATATATGGTAATACCATCGAGTTGGTCAACATAGCCAGTATGAAATCATGCTAGTAATCTTATTACTAGATATGAAAGGATGCATGCCGAGCAAATAACTTGTATGTACGTTTCCTAAAAGATGGCACAAGTTGTACGCTGGTGATAAAGATTCAAGGTTCTCAGTGCGTTTTTTGAACTTCTAGTAGCTGTTTTGTTTGTGCTGTCGTCTGTTCTTTGTGGTAGATGTACCACTCTTCTCGAACTATCTATGTTTGGAACAGTCCGCTGATTTTAGTTTAGCTGTGTAAGGGTAGGCTAAGATTTGAGATAGAACTTTAGTGTTGGCAGGTTGGGTTAGTCAGTTCTTTTGCGTGTCTAGTTCTGCTTCTGTCTCGACTTCTATCATCTCTTGTATTTCCATTATGCTATAATAGAATCGGTGTTTCCTCGCATGGAAAAAAGTGTAAGTCAGAGCTTCCAACTATAGACTGATAGGACTATTTAGGCCTCTGAGTTATTCATTCTTTTGTTTACTTTGAATTACCCCTGTGTCCATAAAAGAATAGATTTCTAGCAAGTTTAGGGTGGACTAGCAAATGAGAGAAAATACCTTACTATCCCTTATTAAACTTCTTAACTTCAACTGCACCCACCACTTACGGAGAAAGTTGGAGCAATAATTTTTGGTGTTTCTAATAATATATTAAATGTTGTTGCACCCATACAACATCGACTATTGGAGCATGATGTCTAGTAGGATGCAGGAATAAATGGGTACATTGACCGTTGGAAACTCCGAGGAAATAAATAGGTCTGATGGATGGTGAGAGTCTAGAAGTTGATTTGTTTTGGGACAAATTTTGAGTCTGGAAATCTATTTTTCTAAGGAACAGAGGGTGTGTTTTGAGTTAAAAAAATGTTCAAACCCTTTACAAAGAGTCGTTTGCATGTAGGTATTTATCCCAAGAGTTGCTTTTGTCCAACAGCACTTTACTAATGCTGTAAAAATTTTTTTTTTTTTTGCGATTTCTTAGTCTGATTTTGGATCTGTTATAGTTGTCTGATTTTGGATCTCCTTACTAATCCGAAAAGGATAACTTATTTCAACCTCCTCTTGTTTGGGCTGAATCCTCACTACCGGCCAATTCTCCCCTCTCCACTGGGCCGTAAAGAACAACCAAAGCCTTTCTTGCATGCGTGACGTTACTGGGCCAGCCCGCGCGAGCGGATCAGGTCCATCCAAACAAGAGGGCGGGCGGAGGCCGTCCCGTCATCGATGGAACCGAGGCTCGCACCGCCGCACCTGCACCCGGTCCACGCGCGCCGCTGTGGGCAGCTGAGTGCGTCACGTGGGCCCGTCACCTGATCTGGCCGCCGCCACTGCCGTATAAGCGGGACCCAGATCTCCTCGGCGCATAGACCCCGCGCACGGACGGCCTGCCTCCCCTCCGCCCAGTCCTTCCACCTCGTCGCCGAGAAGAAGCAGCAAAGCAGCAGCTGGTCGCGTCGCCTCGTGCTCTCCGCCTCCCCCGCCTCGCTTCCTCCTCCGCGCTCTCTTCGTCGAGGCGACAGCGAGGGCGTATAAAGCGCTACCCCCTCCGCGCGCGTCCGCATCGTCGCCACCGCCTCTCCACTCCACTCCTCGACGAGACCAATGGCGGCCGCTGCGTCCTCCGCGCTGCACGCCGTCGGCGCCGTCGCCTCCGCCAAGCCCAGATCCGCCGCCCCAGGTACTTGTACCTTCCCCTGAAAGCTAACCTCCTCACCCTGTCGCCTCCACCGCGCCGCGCCACAACCGGCGGTTGACTGACTTGACCGATCTGCGTCGCTTGTGCAGCGGTGGCGAGGAGGAGGAGCGTGCGCGTGGCCGCGGCGGCCAAGGGAGGACCGGGCTCTTCGGGGAGAGGCAGGATGGTTGCTCGCAGCGCCGTTGCAGTTACGTGCTGCCTCCTGATGTGCTCTCGCCCCTCTACCTGATGCGCTCCCGCTCTCTGCGTCGTGCTGATCTGTTTGCCCTGTGGGATTGTTGTGCGTGCGCAGGCCAAGGCGGATGAGGCGGCCGCGGCGGCGGGATCCAAGTCAGGCGGGTAAGAATAAGATACTGAGATGACTTGCTGTCAACCTGAATTCAAATTCTGGCATAATTTGGTCTGTGCAAACAATTCGTGTTGGTTTAGATGTCACCATGAGATTTAGCCCTGGATGCGACTGAATTAGCATGTGCGACTGTCCAGCGGGTTATTATCTATAATAGACTCGACAGGACTTGTAGTCCTGTCCTTTGCAGCTGAAACAAATGTTAGCTGGCTGTTAGGCTGTAATTTTACTCCTTAAATTCGGCTACCTCACAAGGTCCTTCTTGCCAGTGGATGTAGGATTGGATCTGTGAGGTTTAGATGTTGAATTCTGTTAACTGGGGTTCGGGACAGGTCAGCGGAGCAAGCAAGGTTGTCTTATTCCTTAATTTAATGTTTTGGCAAGGGTTGTCTTATTCCTTAATTTAATGTTTCGGCAAGTAGGAGTACCACATGGATTGGGTACAAATATTAGAGATCAAGCTCAACCAGGGAGTTATGCTCACCAACTCTAGCGATCATGTTCAACACTCTTTTAAGCAAACCCTGGTTTGCACACATGCACATTTGATGTTGCTATCGGTATGAAAAACAAAGGTAGCAGCTTTATGATATATTCTTAGTGAATACTGCCTTCTACCTTCAAAAATGTCCAGAGAACAGGAGGTAAACGATTGGTGATCTCTATCTAGCTAAGTTGGAATGTAGAACTGTGCATTTTATCCTTGTGTTAGAAATTAGAAAAGTAGAATTTTAATGAGGTGTTCTATTGCATTTTGCATTATACTGGATTACTGTCAACTAGAGCATTCTTAATAGAGCTGAAATTCAATGCTGGTAAATGGTGGTTGGTCTCTTTGAAACTTCCATCGACTTCTTTCCTTTGAGTTCAATGCAAATCTGGTCTCAGCAAATTTGATACCTGGCCATGATTTGCAGTCCATGTATTGAAGGTTAATCCAAAATAGTTTAAACACTGTTGATGCCTGAGGACTGCATAGTCTATGCTGGGCGCTGAAAGGAACTATTGAGTTCTTCTGTTTAGCAGTGCAAATGAACTTGCCTTCAGAATACATAAAAGTGATTGGTTAGAAACATAGACATTCCTATTCCATTACTCCTTCAAGCAAACTGTGTGGACAAGTTATATACATGAATGTGGAAATAGTAAGGAAACTCAGGCAGTCAGGCAATTAAGGTCTATAACCTGGTTTGTATTTGGCAGCACCAAATGTTTTGTTTCTTTTTTATTATAAAACTGAAAGTGCTTTTTTTTCAAGCAAGCCATGTTGACTAGAGGTAGACTGGTTATTGACATCTAGATGTATTGGTTCGAAACCTTGAACTGGCTAGAATCATAAACTATACTCAGGCATGGACATTGGGGCACTGGTAAAGAACAACATATACCAGTTTTTGACCCAATATCAATGCACCAAAGCTGTCAGCAGTAACCAATTGGTTACCACCGACAATCAGAAACCAGTACTTTGTTAAGCTTTGTCAGGCAATAAAATATGCTATTGGCCCAGTAAAGAACAGCTTACATCAATTTTTGGACCAATCAATGTACCACTGTTGTCAGTAGTAACTAATTGGTTACCGCTGGCAATCAGAAACCTGCTGTACTTTGTTAAGTTTTGTTCCGGCAACAAAATATGCTATTAGCCCACTAGTTGAAATCATAAATGAACATAGAAGTCTTGTTCTCTATATGGAATTTTTGTTATATGAGGGCTGCTGTTGCCTCTATGAGTAAGGGATCTAGACAATTCTTGTTCTCTTATTTTTTGAGTGTCCATGTTGACAATTTTGATTGACTAAAAGTGGACTGGTTCTTGACTTCTAAATGTATTTGTTTGAAACATTAAACCTGCTAGAACCGTTAACTTAATACTCGGCCATGAACATTGGGATTTGGGACACTTGGGTTAAACAACAGCGTACACTGGAATTTGATTCCATCAACACAGAAATTGTCATCAGCAGCCAATTGAGTACCACTGACAAACAGAAGCTCGTAGTTGGTTAAGCTTTGTCACAGCAAGAAAATATGCTATTGGCCCACTGGTTAACAACCACTTATACCAGTTTTTTTAACCAATCAGTGTACCACTGTTGTCAGCAGTAGCTTATTGGTTACCACTATTCACAAGCAATCAGGAACCTGTACTTTGTTAAGCTTTGTTCCGACAACAAAATATGCTGTTGGTCCACTAATTTAAATCATAATTGGCATAGAAGTCCTGTTCTCTTATATGCAAATTTTGTTTTGTGATGGCTGTTGTTTCCTCTTTGATGAGTAAGGGATGTTGAACTGTAATTTGTATTTGATTTCTATTATTTATGATTATCTACATATGCCTGACTATGTTGACCTTTTCTTCTGTTTAGCCATGAGTTGCTGTTGTTTGAGGCCCTTCGCGAAGCTTTGATAGAAGAGATGAATTTGGATCCAACAGTGTGCGTCATAGGTGAAGATGTTGGTCACTATGGAGGTTCATACAAGGTGACCAAAGGGTTGGCTGAGATGTTTGGAGACCTTCGGGTTCTTGATACCCCTATCGCTGAGAACTCCTTCACCGGCATGGGAGTTGGAGCAGCAATGAAAGGGCTCAGGCCTGTTGTAGAAGGCATGAACATGGGTTTCCTTCTCCTCGCCTACAACCAGATCTCAAACAACTGTGGTATGCTTCACTACACCTCAGGGGGTCAGTTCAAGATCCCGATTGTGATCCGAGGCCCTGGTGGTGTTGGTCGTCAGCTTGGTGCTGAGCACTCACAGCGGCTGGAGTCATACTTCCAGTCAATCCCTGGCCTTCAAATGGTTGCTTGCTCCACTCCTTACAATGCCAAGGGCCTGATGAAGGCAGCCATAAGGAGCGAGAACCCAGTGGTGCTGTTTGAGCACGTCCTCCTATACAACCTGAAGGAGAAAATCCCCGACGAGGAGTACATCTGTTGCCTGGAGGAGGCGGAGATGGTGCGCCCAGGTGAGCACGTGACCATCCTCACGTACTCCCGCATGAGGTACCATGTGATGCAGGCCGCCAAGACCCTGGTGAACAAAGGGTACGACCCCGAGGTCATTGACATCAGGTCGCTGAAGCCGTTCGATCTGCACACCATCGGGAACTCGATCAAGAAGACCCACCGCGTGCTGATCGTGGAGGAGTGCATGCGGACGGGCGGCATCGGTGCCAGCCTGAGGTCGGCCATCATCGACAACTTCTGGGACTACCTGGACGCCCCCATCATGTGCCTGTCGTCGCAGGACGTACCGACCCCGTATGCTTCAACTCTGGAGGACGCCACCGTGGTGCAGCCTGCGCAGATCGTGGCCGCTGTTGAGCAGATCTGCCAATAATCGTGATATGACGGCTTTGTTGAGTTACCTGATTTCCGGATTCGTATTACCGTGTTTTGTTCGTTGTCACATAGTGACTGTCATTGTGCCTTAGACAGACATGTATTCTATTTTGCAACGCAGAAGCCATACTCATACGAATGCATTTTGTTCACTGTGCAAAGCTGGATGCCCTTTGTTTGTTCTTGTACATCATTTATTAGATTTCAGCATTCGTTTGTAACAGCAGCGCCGTGTTGGTTCTTCTATTTATACGATGGGCCTGTGCGCTGGTTGGTGCTGGTACTGGTTTGGGCTGGTTGGTGCTGGTTTTTTTGAGAGGAAAATACTGTTGGCTGACTGGTTTGGGCTGGCTGAAACCAACCAGCGAACAGGTTGGATGATCGTGGTGTTTGATACGATGATCGTGGTGTTTGATACCTCCTTCTAAACTTTCCCTATCATATTTGGTGTTTAGACACTAATTTAGAGTATTAAATATGAATTAATTACAAACTAATTACATTTAGACACTAATTTAGAGTATTAAACATAGATTAGCTACAAACTAATTACATGGATGGAGATTAATTTACGAGACGAATCTATTAAGCTTAATTAGTCTATGATAATATGGTGCTACCATAAATATGTGTTAATGATGGATTAGTTAAGCTTAACAAATTTGTCTCGTAAATTAGTCTATGTCTATGTAATTAATTTTTATAATTAATTCATGTTTAGTGCTCCTAGTTAACATCTGAATGTATGAGGTTACAGGGGTTAAACTGGATTCAAACACGAGTGGGTCCCATTTAAGTTTCACTCCTGCACCTGAATTTATTGGTTGCATCTTGCAGAAGATTCGGGCATTGCATTGTGGCCCCATCTTCTGCACTCTGATTTTTCTTCTCCCGTTTCATTCCCGTTGCAGCTTGAGCCTCGTCTCCGTTCAATCATGTCACTCAAACCTGGTATTACTAAACATCAATTTGAGTTTGGAAACCTATATTCTTCTAATTCACTTACACAAAGCAACATGCCATGTTTTCTTAAACCTAAATAAAAATGAAGCGGGTCAGCTAGGCCGCTGGCTGGGTGATAGGAGTGACGCCGTTCACAAGCCAGCGTACAGAAAGCCGGGCGGCTGTGCGAGCTATCACTAGCAGTGGCTGCAGCAGCAAGGGGCCACCCAGAACCGAACCACAAGCATCCTGATGAAAAGTAGAAGGAACGGCAGTGCTACCGCTCGGATGGACGGACCGACGCCCGCACTCTGTTTTCTCCGCGCGCACCTGCACCCCACACCCGCGTTTGAGTCAGCACGCCCTGCTCGTGCCACACGCGGGGACCGCTCGCGCCTCCTCCACTTCTCACGCACATTGCAACATTGCAACACTCGATCTACTTTTGTAACATATAGATGAAACACTTGCAACATACGTCCTGAACAGTTGAAAACATTTGCAACATACGTCTGAAACGTTTGCAAAACGGCAGAATAAACTTGAAAACATGTGTGTAGCCATTGCAAACATATGCAAACGTCAAGGTGAAACACTTGCAACATACGTATTAAATCACCTGAAACACCTGCATATATATGCAAAATCCTAATCTAGTTTCGCAATATCAAAAAATAAAAACACTTGTAACATACGTCTGAAACAGATGAAATATTTGGAACATACACTTGAAATATACATGTATAGCCATTGCAACATGTGCAACATCCCGATTTACTTTTGGAACATCGATATAAAATACTTACAACATACCTTTAAAACATGTGAAACACTCGAAACATACGCTTACAACATGCGCTTTCAGTGCAATGTCACCTTGCTGCTTGGACGAATGGAAGATTGTCGTTGCGGAGCTCAACGTCGGCGCGGAGGTCGGCTGTGGCGCAGAGCTCGCCGATGCGACAGCGGCGCGGACAACTCGCCGGCGGGGCTGCGTCACAAGAAGCATCCCCCCTCTTGCTTGTTTGCTGGAGGATCCGTCGTGGAGGCTCGCCGGCTCGGTGGAGCGACCACGATGTGCAGATGGCGCGGTGCAGGGAGGAGAAGGAAGCGGGACGCGCAGGAGGAGCTGGGCGGATGCGGGCACGTGTCGACGGGCATCATTGTCGGAGGTGAGACTGCACGGGAGACCTTTGAGTACGGGTCTAAACGCTGGAGGCTAGGAGCATGTGACTGCAAGGCTGTGAAGGAGGAGCAGTGTGCAGTGAAGACAGAGCCACGTGTGACATTAGCCACAGGCACGTTGCTTGGACCGGTTCGCATGCCCAGCAAGCAAAGCGTCCGTCGACACCCTAATAACCTAATAATTACCGAAAAGGAAATATTCCAGGTCATTAACGTTTCCCGCTAGCAGGCACCACGTTTCCTACTTTCCTGGTTAGTTTGCGGCCCTAACTTTGGCCCATCAAAAATAGCGCAGGAGCCCACGAGCCAACACAGAGCTACCACGGGCCAACACAGAGCTGAAAATTGGGGCCGAGAGCTACGACGAGGGGCGCTCCAGTGGCCGGAAGCCCAAAATTTCCCCACCCCCAACGCCTCAGCACACAGTCGCACGGCCGACGGCTTCTCCTGTTGTCCCTCTCGTTTTCCCTCCCGTTCCCCCAAACCCTAGTGCTAGTGGCGAGGGAGCGAGCCGCAAGGCGCCAAGCATCTGCAGCGGCGCGGCGAGGCGGCGTGCGCACCGCGGCAGCGGGGGGCCTCGAGGCGCCTACCTGCAGGCTGCAGCGGTGGAGCGCCGGCGTGGCTAGCCGCTGGGCGGCTGGGCGGGGCGGGGCGGCGGCCGCTCCTGGCCCGTGCTGAGGCACCGAGCGGAGGGTGGAGGCCGCAGGGCGGCAGAGCAACGCCGACTGCTGTGAGCCCGTGACTGCAGGGTGCCGTCTGCTGTCTGCCGATTGGAGTAGAGGACTAACCGGCAACTGTTAATTCAAATTGTAAGCTAGTTTGGTCAACTGGCTTACCATTTCAATACATTCTCGATTGCAATTTACCAATATTTATGAAAAAATGAAACTGAGACGGTGGCTAAGGCAGTGAAATTTACTTGCTTAGAGTATCTACGTCTTCACTGTTTCACCAATGTTGTTTATTAGTTTGGTTGTTTCATATCCTCTATATATTTCATTTCAGATGTTTATACTTCCATATGTTTTATGTCCTCTATCTATGTATTTTCAGATGTTGCCAATTCGATATGTTGTGCAATTGGTATTTATATATGTTAAATAATTTCAAGTTATGCTCAATTCTATGAATATATGAAATCATGCTCAATTATGTTTTATCCTTGTGTATTATACAACTACTACTATGTGGTATTATAACACGCCAAGTAGGGTTTCAGGTTGTCAAAAATGAATTTGAATACCCAACCTCAGAATCCTGGGCCTGCCACCGACTATATGTTGTACTATTGGTGTCACATGTTTCACTTATTATTGCTTTCTATAAGCTAGCTTCTAGATCCAATGTTTGATGTGCAACATTACTTTTCAATCTAATTCAGACCAACTGTCACACTATCTGTATTTGTGTCTTTGGTATGTCTGTTGCTAAGTTGTGTATTGCAGACCTTTCTATGGTTTTGTGCAACCTGCTATTTCCACCGTGTTTATTTGCATCTTTTCATGTGTGTATAGGCCACCTCTTAAATTTCACTGTCACTTAGGGACTCCTTTCCCTGAGAAGAGGCGGAGGCTGGGATAAACAATGACTGTTGGATCACGTGTGGTGGTGATAGACAATGGGGGTGGCCTTCTCAAGGCTGGCTTTGGCGGAGACAATGATCCAATTGCTGTTGTCCCCAACTGTATGGCCAAACCCCCTGGTGGCAATGCCAATTCCAAAAAATGGTTGGTTGCTGATCAGCTGCAGGCAGAAGATGTCGATGTGACTGGCATGACACTGAAGCGTCCTATTGATCGTGGCTATCTTATCAATACCGAGGTGCAGAAGGAGGTGTGGGAACGGGTTTTACGCAATCTTCTCCAGGTTGAACCTACCAGCTCATCCCTGTTACTGGTGGAGCCATTGTTTAACCCTCCAGCGCTACAACACGCAACTGATGAGCTGGTGTTCGAGGAGTTTGGTTTCAACTCTCTTTGTGTTGCAGATGGTCCTTCCCTTGTCCACCTTTATGAGGCTAGCCGCCAACCAATGCTCTTCCGTGCCCAGTGCAGCCTTGTTGTTGACTGTGGCTTCTCTTTCACCCACGCATCCCCTGTGCTTCAGAACTTTACTCTGAATTACGGCGTTCGGCGTATGGACCTTGGTGGCAAGGCCCTTACAAACTATCTCAAGGAGCTTGTCTCATATCGTTCCCTTAATGTCATGGATGAAACTCTCCTCATTGATGATGCAAAGGAAAAGCTATGCTTTGTCTCGCTTGATGTCCCTGGTGATCTTCACCTTGCCAGGTCTGCTGCCTTCATAATCTGTCACCGTATGTATCATATTTTCAATTCTTCTTTCCGTTTGTTTAGGGTTAATGTATAATGATATTTTCAATTAAATTTCAAGGTCACAGCAACCTTAATTTTGAAATGCCATCTAGGAACATGCAGCATTTGGACTCTGTGTAACCAATTTAACTGCCTCTATAGATAGCCTGTTATTTTCCAAACTTGATTTTATAACTTCTTGAACAGAGTGCATGTGCATATATGTGTGGGGGAGGTAGTGGACAAGGTTTTGTAAGTGAAACTTCACTTGGCAAATGCAAAACTTATCTCCAGCAAATAAATGAACCAAGCATAATGGATTATGTTTCTGGAATCATCCTATACTTGGGTTATGTTTTCTCCATATTGTTGTTTAAAATGTCTTCTTCAACCACACTGGATTTACAGTGCCAAGAGACGATTTTCTCTCTGGATGCTATGGAATGCCCACCATTGATGGGTGAATGTTAGTGCCTTAGTGGAGACAAATTTTCTTTGCTGAAAGGTTGTTTAGAAGTATCATCCTAAAGCATATTGTGCTGCATTATGTCAAAAA